ATAGAGGAGAAAAAAGAAAAGAGATAACATAATAGAGGGAGCCATTACAGGCTTAAAGAGAAATCTGGCACTAGGGAAATGTCCAGAGATTTACAAACTTGATCTCAACTAACAATCTAAGCAATAGTGGAGAGGCTACCTTAAATGCCCTTCTCTAATAATGAGATTGATGACTACCTTATATGCCATGCTAGAGCCTTCATCCAGTAGCTGATAGAAGCAGAAGCAGACATCCATAGCTAAACACCGAGCTGAACTCTGGAATTCAGTTACAGACAGGGAGGAGTAATGAGCAAAGGGTTCAAGACCAGGCTGGAGAAACCCACAGAAACAGCTGACCTGAACAAGGGGGAGCTCATGAACTACAGACTGATAGCTGGGAAACTAGCATAGGGATGTTCTAGACGCCCTAAACAAGGATGTCAGTTTGGAGGTCTGGTTAATCTATGGGGCCTCTGGTAGTGAATCAGTATTTATCCCTAGTACACAAATGGACTTTGGGAGCTCACTCCACATAGAGGGATACTCGCTCATCCTAGACACAGGGGAGGGTCTAGGCCCTGCTCCAAATGATATGACAGAATTTGAAGATACACCATGGAAGACCTCACCCTCCCTGGGGAGCAGAAAGGGGATAGGATAGGGGATCTGTGGGGGGCAGGGGAAGAAGGGAGGGAGAGAGAACTGGGAATGACATGTAAAACAAGCTTGTTTCTAATTTAAATTAAAAAAGGAAAAAAAGATTTCATCTCACAAAAGAAAAAGAAAACTTGCCCAGAAGTTTACTGGGAAGGAACTTAAGGAGTAGATGGGAGTAGTGAGGGGCGGGGTGGGAGGAGAGAAGGAAAGGAAGACTGTGGTCAGTATGTAAAATAAATGAAAAATTGTTAAGTAAATAAAATCAACTTAAAAAGAAATTCAAAGTTTGCTCATGTTTGGACTAGCATATACATTCAGATGAAGTTTACTTGGCACTGGGCAATTTTTTCATTGTTTGACAGTTTTCGGAAGCTTTTAATTTTTTATTTTAATATTAGATGAGCAGTGACTTTTTAAAAATTCTTTATCTCTTTAGTGAAATGATGCACCAAAAAGAGTTCATTTTCAGCCGGGCGGTGGTGGCGCAAGCCTTTAATCCGAGCACTCTGCAGGCAGAGGCAAGCGGATCTCTATGAGTTTGAGGCCAGCCTGGTCTACAGAGCGAGTTCCAGGACAGCCTCCAAAACAGTACAGAGAAACTCTATTTCAAAAAAAAAAAGAGTTCATTCTCCAACTCCCCTCCCAACTTAGTCTAAATAGATGTAGGATGATTTATAATAGTGCATAAAGTTTCTTAATCTAATTTACAGGGCAAAGCTATATTCCAAACCCATCTACCTTACACAAACACAGGTAACTTGTCCCTCCAACAGATTAACAGCAGGAGAGAATTAACTCACACCACACAGTACCATGAAATTGCTTCATTTTTCACACGCTAAAATGGATGCCTGGAAAAGTAGAACAATTTATCTATAGGTTAACATAACTTCAAATTTTTAACTGTATAAGCTAAATAAAAGTTAAAATAAAAAGCTGTGATTCAAGTCACATCCTTGGCCTGCAACCCTTTCTAGAATTAAAAGGAGTATGTATTATTTTTGAAGTCCACAATGCAATAAAGTAAAATGAACAGCTAGCAAGTGACTTCAAAAGATGTTTATAGATTGTCCCTTAAGCCATCATTGTTTATCTACAATCTACCTTGCACTGGCACAACTAATAAATATAGTATTGAATTCTAATTGTTCCTTGAATGTTAGCGCTCACACCGTACAATTTAAAATAAAGATAAAACCAACCTGTGGATTATTCTTCTTATGTTCCCAAAGCAGTAATAAGAGCTTTCAACACAAAAGGAACCAAAATGTACAGAGATCAAGGACAATGAGCCACACACTCACATGATTTCTGATGGATCCAAGAAGAGCACAGACCCTACAAACAGCCCTCTTTGCTCTCGGTGCATCTTACAAAAAGGCAGAAATGGATAACTATACTGTTACTGATCCAGGAAAAATGTGTTAAAAGTGATAGCTTTCAAAATGCAAGAGTGTTTTCTCTATGCGGTGACTTATTAATATGTGAAGACTCAAAAGAGCTATTTTCTTTTTTTCAATATATTTTTATCTAAATTAGAAACATGATTGCTTCACATGTCAATCTCAGCTCTCTCTCCCACCCCTCCTCCCTTACCTCTCTACCAGCCCCACACCCCCCACCCAATCCCCACACCATTCCCTGGGGACAGTAAGGCCCTCCGTGGGGGATCTCCAGAGTCTGTCATTTCATCCAGGGCAGGACCTGGGCCCTCCCCCATGTGTCCAGGCTGAGAGAGCATCTGTCCATGTGCAATGGGCTCCCAAAGCTCATTCATACACCATGGTAAACATTGATATATTACCCAAGAGCCCAGAGATTGCTGAGGCCTCCTCACTGACACTACATTCAGGGGATCTGGATCAGTCCCCTGCTGGCCTCTCAGCCATCAGTCTGGGGTCCACGAGCTACCCCTTGTCTGGTCAGATGACTTTGTGGATTTCACCAGCACAGTCTTGACCCCTTTGCTCATCACTCCTCCATCTCTGTCACTGGGTTCCAGGGCATCAGTTCAATGTTTAGCTGTGGGCATCTGCCTCTGCTTCGATCAGTCACTGGATGAAGGTTCTAGAATGGCATATAAGATAGTCCTCAATTTCATCATAAGAGAGGGGCTATTAAGGTAGTCTTTCCATTATTGCTTAGTTTGCCAGTTGATGTTAACCTTTCAGATTTCTGGAAATTTCACTAGTATCAGCTCTCTCCTCAAACCTATGTTATTTCTCATTCTGCTCTCCTCTATTCTTACCATGACTCAACTTTCCTGATCCCCATGTCTTCCTCTCCCCACTTCTTCTCCCCCTCTCTTTTTCCCTGTTCCCTCTCCCCTCCTTCCATGTTCCCAATCTGCTCAGCAGAACTTGCCTCATTTCACTTCTCTGGGGTATCATGCATATCTCTCTTGTGAACCTCTCTGTTTCCCAGACTCATTGGCAATGGGATTGTAGGCTAACATTTCCCTGATCCATGTTTAAAATCCATATATGAGTGAGTACATACCATGTTTGTCTTTTTGTGACTGGGTTACCTCATTCAGAATGGTTTCTTCTAGTGCCATCCATTTGCCTGCAAATGTCAAGATTCCGTTGTGTTTTTTCCACTGAGTAATACTCCATTGTGTAAATGTACCACATTTTCTCTATCCACTCTTCAGTTGTGAGGCATCTAGGTTGCTTCCAGGATCTGGCTATTACAAATAATGCTGCTATAAACATAGTGGAACAGACATTCTTTGTTGTGTGAATGGGCATCTTTTGGGTATATGCCTAAGAGTGGAATTGCTGGGTCTTGTGGTAGACTGAGTTCCATTTTCCTGAGGAATCTCCATACTGATTTCCAAAGTGGCTATACAAGTTGGCACTCCCACCAGAAGTAGAGGAATGTTCCCCTTTCTCCACAACCTCTCCAGCATAAATTGTCATTGATTTTTTTTATTTTAGCCATTCTGACAGGAGTAAGAGTTGTTTTGATTTTCATTTCCCTGATAGCTAAGAATGTTGAGCACTTTCTTAAGTGTCTCTCAGCCATTTTAGACTCCCCTACTGAGAATTCTCTATTTAGTTCTGTAGCCCACTTTTTAATTAGATCCTTTGGTGTTTTGGAGACTTGCTTCTTAAGTTCTCTGTAAATTTTGGAGATCAGCCCTCTGTCAGATGTGGGGTTAGTGAATATCTTTTCCCATTCTGTGGGGTGCCTTTTTGTCTTGCTGACTGTGTCCTTTGCCTTACAGAAGCTTCTCAGTTTCAGGAGGTCCTATTTATTAATTGTTGATCTCAGTGTTTGTGCTACTGGTGTTATGTTCAGGAAGTGGTCTCCTGTACCAATTCGTTCAAGAGTACCTCCCACTTTCTCTTCTAAGAGGTTCAGTGTGGCTGGAGTTATGTTGGGGGTAACACTGGCTGGAGTTATGTTGGGGTAACACTAACCAAACAAGTGAAAGACCTTACCACAAGAACTTTGAGTCTTTAAAGAAAGAAATTAAAGAAGACACCAGAAAATCGAAAGATCTCCCATAGTCTTGGATAGGTAGGATCAATGTAGTAAAAATGGCAATCCCGACAAAAGCAATATACAGACTCAATGCAATCCCCATTAAAATACCAGCACAATTCTTCACAGACCTTGAAAGAACAATTCTCAACTTTATATGGAAAAACAAAAGACCCAGGATAGCCAAGACAACCCTGCTCAACAAAGCAACATCTGGAGGCGTCACCATCCCTGACTTCAAGCTCTATTGTAGAGCTATAGTCCTGAAAACAGCTTGGTATTGCACAAAAATAGGCAGGTAGATCAATGGAATGGAATCGAACACCCTGTTATTAACCCACAAACCTACGAACACCTGATTTTCGACAAAGAAGCTAAAATTATACAATGGAAAAAAGATAGCATCTTCAACAAACGTGCTGGTATAACTGGATTTTGGCATGTAGACAACTGGAGGTAGATCCATGTCTATCACCATGCACAAAACTTAAATCCAAATGGATCAAAGACCTTAACCAAAGAGCTATTTTCTAATTCATTAAAAGGATTACACTTATCTGGGCAGTGGTGGCAAATGCCTTTAATCCCAGCACTCAGGAGGCAGAGACAGGCATGGTCTACAGAGCAAGTGCCAATACAGTCTCAAAGGCTACAAAGAGATATCCTGTCTCAAAAAATCATAAAATAAAAGTAAAAAAATAAAAGGATTACACTTGCATCATTGCACTTAAGACTCAACGCTACTCGACGGTGTTGGTTCACTCCTTAAATTCCAGCACTTGGGAGACAGAGGCAGGCAGAGCTTTGTGAGCTCAAACACAGCCTGGTCTACCAGCGAGTTCTATGATACCCATGGCTACAAAACAATAAAAAGACTTAACTCTAAAACATTCTATTTCTTTTGTGAGGTCATCTATCAGGTTCTTTTCTGTAGAAGTTTTTCTGTTTTATATACACCATCAAAAAATGCCTGCAGAAATGAATTCAACAGATCTTGGCTGCCTACCATACCAAGCACCAGTGGGTAATGATGGGGAACAACTTTTGGTCCAAAGGATTGGAGAGTCTGGTAAGGAGAGATTCTAAAGTGTGGAAATACTTAGCTAACTATGATTCTAGGGACTTATTTTCCTTTCTATGATTGGATGACTTACAAGTTAACTCTGCACATCAATATTAACTCACATTTTAGTGATACAATCTTAATAGGAGTGAAAACAAATTAAAATACAAATAAAGTGTCATGAAATTATCTGCGTGATTCCAAAAAGTCACTAGGGTATTGGTTCTCCTGGGTTGAATCCAAAGAAAATGAATCCAAAGAAAATCTAGGGGATAGTCATGTCTTGATCTTCAGCATACAGAAAAGGAAATTTCTTTTGCAAATAATTAAATATCACATTTGCTCAAAGAATGGCAAATGTTTTGAACAATGAAACACATTTGCTTTGAGACACATTTGTTTTGTGAATAGAAGGGGTAGAATAAACTTATCTGGCTTTCGAGGCAAACACAAGATCAAGTGTGGGTCTTCTATTATCTGTCAGACTTAAGGAAATTTCTTGACATATTAACTTATCAGATGTTTAGTTTCTTATCCATAAAACCCAGATATTAAGATGAATTTGGTTGTTGTAAGAGCAAGTATTCAATATGGAAATCTGTACTATATAATTTATTTTTCCCAAAGTCTGAAGATCGACTAGGATAAAAAGATTCTTGGACAAAAAGGGGAAAATTCCTTTAAAATATCTTTCCACCTGATGTGTTCATTTCAGCCAGAATAAGTAAATTAATGATAGTGTTTGGCCATGAGAACTCTATGTCTTTTCTGTAGTCCCTGCTAATCTGAGGCTACTGGTCAATGCTCCCTTTGCTGATACAATTCTCAGTATAAGAATGGCTACCTTCTCTCATCTCCCACTCTTCTACCACCCGGATGTGCATTCTTCCTTGCCCCTGTTTTCTCTGCTTCCTAAAAGCCTTCTAGTCATAATAACTGAGAACCATAAACATTTTCCCAATAGTCACTTGGAATTAAAAATTTTGCTGACATACTTTCTTACTTTTCTACTGCTGTGAAGACATCCCGACCATGGCAACTTACAGAGAAAAGTTTGTTGGGGGCTTAGAGTTTCAGAGTGTAAGTCCATGGCTACCATGGTGGGGAGCATGACAGCAAGCAGACATGCATGGCACCAGAGCAGTAACTGAGACATAATATCTTCATCTGCAAATACAAAGCAGAGAGAAAGAAAGCTAACTGGGTCTGGCGTAGGCTTTTGAAACCTCAGAACCCACCTCCCAGTGACACACCTCCAACAAAGTCAAACCTTCTAAGCCTTCTCAAACACCAAATAGGGACCAAATATTCAAATATAGAAACCCCAGTCGGGGGCTAGGGGTGTCATTTTCATTCAAACCACCACATTGACTTGAGAGAAATCTCAGTCTTTCTGGGTCTATAATAACCCCTAAATATTCGACTGGATAGTTACTAGAATAGGAAGGTCATGTATCCTTATTTATTTTAGATTCTCTTTGGCCTTTGGTTATTCTTCCTAGACCTAAAGAAGTTGATACTGGTGCCCCCCAGCCATGCAGCTTTGGTTAGTCTCGAAAAGAATAAGGGCACTTGACATACTGTCTCACACTTCTCCTTCCATGGTTTTCACTCTTTTTAAAAGAAAGGCAATTTTTAAAAAAGGAAATATGAAATGAAACCATGTTGAATTTAACTTCTCAGGCCCAGGATGGGATGCTGCCAGTCTCCATAGTGAAGAGCTCTAAACGGATGATCTCAAACTTCTGTCTGTCTCCTGGCTTGGCACAGACAAGAAAGAGTCACTTCAGTAAAGATGCGCCAGCCTTTAATTCCTCCTCACACTGGACTTGACTGATATATTTTGTCATCTTGTTGTTTCATGTATCCTCAAATTTGCAAATGTAATGGCCCATTATATAAGGACCTTTGCTTTTCTATCAGCTGGAAGAGACAATATGAGCAATTAGCAAGGCAGGATTTGTTTAGCTGGAAAATAAGGGAAATGGTGAAAGATGAAATTGTTTAATTCTTTCTCCTCAAGTAACTTCAGAATTACAGATGTCTCTGAATGCAATCAATTAATTTCAGCCATGTCTGTTTATTTGTATGCATGTTACCAGAGTAAAGGCCTAATCCAAAAACTAATGATTTGGGAATCTGTTGGGTATTCTTCTGGACCCTGTCCAATTTCTTTTCATGGGAACACCCAGATGAGCTCTCTTAGAGTACAATATACAGCCAGCGAAGTGCCTGGGCAGCTAATGTGCATCAATGCATAGTTACACTCAGTCTGGAGCAAAGGCAGAGCTCAACTGCTTAACTCCAGTCTTCTTTAAATGCAATTAAGTAGAGTGAACCCCAGTTAGGTGGAGCCAGAAACTGGAAAAGTTGGGTTATTCAATGGAAATAACAACTGGTTATAATCCACAGACAAAAAATAATGAAAGTATTCAAAGGAAGAAACGTCTTGTTAAAAAGAATCAGATGTTGTGTTATTGGCTTTTTGAAAAGTGTAACAAACTGTTTCATAATTTGCCAAAATAGTATTCATCTACGTAAACTAATAAAGGCACCACTGATTAGTTTAGGAGGAATCTGATTATTGGGATAGAAGTTGAAAGTAAAATGCACTTGCTTAATAGATAGCTTTTCTCTTTACAAATTCCCTCATATGCTTCTCTGCCCTGATAGATGACAGACATTTACTGTTCTGGAAGGCAGTATTCCACTAGGTAAATGCTCAATCACGGCTACAATGTGTAGTCCCTGTTATAGAACTAGAACAATCAGGTGTGGCATTATTTCCTTTTTATCTCTCCCTGTTCTTCATAGGATAAAAGTTTTAACTTATGTGGAGTTCTTTTGTTCCTATAACAATATTGCAGGATGCCAACATTTGGCACCATCAGGCTAAATAAGAGAATAGTTGATATGACGGGCCTGAAAATTAGACAATTATCCTCTCCATAAGAGAATTTAATATAGACCTGAGTGGGAATTTTGTACCTATTGGTTTGTCAGCAAAACTCTACTTATTATTACTCTCCTACTTACTAAACCAAATTCTCATATTTAGAACGAAGTTCCTAAGGGCAGAGGAATGTCATTTGCAATGTTAAGTGCTTATAGGATACATTATGATGTCTTAAAGTCAGTTAAGTTCGCCCATACTGAGTCCATGACTTAACTCTCCTGTAAAGGCATTCTACTATTGTTTTTCCATCTACCCAGCTGTAAGTTTTGACTCCATAAAAACAACGATTAATTTGATTTGTTTTACAGGCGACTTAGCAGTGAAAACTTTAAGGACCAAGTTTCAGTCCAGAGTTAAAATAGTGTAGGATATGGTGACAAATAAGAGCACAGAGGTAGAAGCTGAAGAAGCAAAGCTACCAAGGAAGTTAGCCGTCACTCCTAGGAAGGTGCCTACTTCTCATAGGCTGCAGAATTTGGAAGAATAAAGCAGAAGCAAGACTCCTAATGACATGAGCCACGCTAGTTGATTCGAAATCAGCATATGACTACCTTGGTTTTTTAATTAATTCTTAACCAATCCAAAACCTCTGCCTCCTGAAAGCCAGGAAACATAAGCATCACTGATTGTTGCCCACACAAATGTGTAGAATTTGGCCTCAGTTTGCTTTAACATTGTTTGATGAGTCATGTTTATGTACATGACTAGCTCACTTAAACTAGCTCCACAACTACTTTCCCTTTTGCATTGCATCTATTGTCTTCCCACAATGCATGATGCCTTCCATTTCAATCTATGCACATTGTATTCCTTTCTCCAGTTCCCAGTCACATTTCACCTCTCTTTGAAATTACCCCAGATAAGCTTGCAATGTCCTTTGTATCGAATAAAAACAAAGAATATTTACTAATTCCCAAATTACTGCTTTTTCATAGTCTTTTATTTTATGAAGTGCCCTTTTTATTAAAAGTCTTATTATTCACTTTCTCAGCATTCCTTTAGTGTTATTCTCTTGTCTGCTTTTCATTGCTATTAGCTGGGACTTAACCATTATTTTCTCTCATTCACCAGCTATAATATATTAACTATATATCAATAAATACCAAATCTTTACTATCAGACTATCCTTTATTCCTAGGTTCTAGATCAATCTATTCTTTCTGGTTACGATATTTAATTTCAAGGAGAACTCATGCTTGCAACTCAGAAAGAGTCTTTTCCAAATTGGAATTCTTATTCCTATGTTCATTGTGATCCCAAGAAGAAGTAAGTGATGTAATTTGGCTTACACTTCTTGCCAGGGCATTTTGATTACCTGATCATTGCCTACTTTTAGGGCCTTGTTTGGGAGAGATGCTCTATGATAGGCATTGGCATGAGTTAAAAGTATTTTCACACTTTATCTCTGCTTATGTGAACCCACTCACCTCCAACTTAAAACATTCTCATCTCTGTGTTTCCAAAGCAAATGAGTAAGTACTAAGAGTAAGCCCAAGTATAGTGTGAATGTTAGTATTCAAGGTCTTTGTCTTCCTACGCAAGAAATGGAGAACTGGGCCTATAATCCAATCTCTGCTCATCATTAAGATGCCCTCTTATTAGTAGTACAATACATGATAGATGGTCTGGGTTACAAGCACTGGGCACTTGCATTTCTCCTGTAGAGCCTATACGTCTTTTGTTCTGGAAGTACCACTCATACTAATATCATGAAAGTATGATAATATTAGCATTGATTCATATTGAACCTACTTGTCTATCTAGAGTTTGGTAGATTTGACAGTATTCATGGTAGATCTGGTAGGACAATAATTTGGGAGCGCATGGTCAGATGCTTCACTGGGTTCCACAGAACCCTTGTAAAATTGATCTTTAAAAAAGCATATAGCTTTATACTGCAAATGGCTTTTCCCACTGATGATAGAAGCTCTTAAGATCATACTATGAGATCAGTTGACCTGCTAGTACTGAGAATTGGAACTGATACAAAGACATTTTTTATTCTGAATCTCGCTCAAATCTATCAGTCACTAATGTCACTTATTATATT